CCCACCGGCATCGGCTACTCGAGGGGGAATCAAAAACTCTCCAGGGCCTGCTACCTTCAACTTACCAAGAAGGTTAGTAAAACAGAACTACGTGTGGACACCATCACCACCAGGGCCTTGGAGGAAGAAGAAGGCAGGCCGAGAGCTGAGCCTGCCGAGGAGACCGAAGACTTGATACTCGATCCGGCCAAGCCGGAGAGAGTCCTGAAGATTGGAGCCAAGCTCCCCGAAGACTTGAAGGCTGGCATCACCAAAGCCCTCCGCGCCTACTCCATTGTTTTTGCATGGGGGCCGGAGGATATGCCGGGAATTGACCGAAGGGTCATCACCCACCGCCTAGCGGTGGACCCTTCGGCCAAACCAGTACAACAGCGGAGAAGACCCCTCTCGGCCGAGAGAAGGGAGTTCGTGAAGAAGGAGGTAGCCATGCTCCTCTCCATCAAACATATCAAGGAGGTAAAATACCCCTCTTGGTTAGCCAATGTAGTCCTTGCACAGAAGCCTCCTACCTTCCGCATGTGCGTGGACTACACTGATCTGAATAAGGCGTGCCCTATGGACCCCTTCCCTCTGCCAAACATTGATCAACTGGTGGATGAGACCGCGGGATGCGAAATCATGTCCTTCCTCGACGCATTCCGCGGGTATCATCAAATCTATATGCATGAAGAAGACGCTGAAAAAACTGCCTTCATGACACCCGAAGGCATCTTCTGCTACCTCGTGATGGCCTTCGGCCTCAAGAATTCAGGCGCCACCTACACCCGAATGGTGGCCAGGGTCTTTCAAGCTGTCTTGGGGCGCACTATGGAGGCCTATGTTGACGATATGATTGTCAAGAGCAAGAAGGCCGGCACTCACGCCGAGGACCTCCAGGAAATCTTCGCCATCATGCAAAAATTCAACCTCCGATTGAATCCAAAGAAATGCACCTTCGGCGTACAAGGTGGAAAATTCTTGGGCTATATGGTAAGCCGAAGGGGTATCGAGGCCAACCCCGAGAAAATTCAGGCCATCATCAATATGGAGCCTCCGCGCAACGTCAAAGAAGTTCAACGGTTGACGGGTCGCCTGGCGGCCCTCAACCGATTCCTCTCTAAGTCAGCCGAGAGGGCCCTCCCATTCTTCCAAATCATGAGGAAGACAGCTGGCTTCCAATGGACATCTGAGTGTCAGGAGGCCTTCGATGAACTTAAGAAGTACCTCTCTTCTCCCCCGGTGCTCTCCAAACCGAAGGTGGGGGAGACCTTATACTTGTATCTCGGTGTTAGCCCTGCGGCAATCAGCTCAGTACTAATCCGAGAGGAAGACGGCATCCAACACGCCATCTTCTACGTCAGCAAAACCCTCCGGGAGGCCGAACTCAGGTATTCTCCCGTCGAGAAGACGGTGCTAGCCATCGTTTGGACCGTCAAGAAGCTTGGCCACTACTTTCAAGCTCATCCGGTCCAAGTGCTCACTCATCAACCCCTCGGCGCCCTCATGAGGAGTCCCACTAGCTCCTCTCGGATGGTGAAATGGGCCATCTTCCTCAGCCAATACAACATAGATATCCGTCCGAGGCCTGCCATCAAGGGCCAAGCCCTGGCAGACTTCGTAACGGAATGCACCGCAAGATCAGCGGTGGATGAGGAGCCTTCGGCACCCCTCGATGAGTGGTGGACCCTCTATACCGATGGCTCCTCGGCTACCAAAGCATGCGGAGGGGGAGTAGTTCTCATCACACCCGAGGGCTTCCGCGCCTATTACGCCATCCGATTCTCCTTCAAAGTCTCCAACAACGAGGCCGAGTACGAAGCCCTCCTCTGTGGCCTTCGGCTGGCAGCAAATCTGAAGGCCAAGATGATCCACGTTAAGTGTGACTCGAAACTCGTCGTGGGTCAAATTTCCGGGGAATACGAAGCCAAGGAAGGAAGGATGAAACAATACAAAGAAGCGGCTAAGGAGTTGCTCAAGGTATTTGAGGCACATTCCCTCACCCAAATACCGAGGGCTCAAAACTCCGAGGCCGATATTCTATCAAAGCTCTCGGATGAATCCCCCGAGCACCTCTCCAAAATTGCAAGAATTGAGGAACTCAGCCTCTCAAGCATCCACGCGAGCCCCGTCATGAACATTAACCTGAGGCCGGAGGATTGGATCTCCGACATCATCGCCTTCATCACCACGGGGCAACTGCCCCAAGACGAAGCTCGCGCCAAGTTAGCAAAACTGAGGGCTCCCAGCTACGCCATCGAAAACGGGAGGCTTTACAAGAGATCCTACAACGGCACCCTCCTTCGGTGCCTTCATCAAGATGAGGCCGAAGTCGCCATGGAGGAAGTGCACAGTGGCACTTGCTCAGCACACCAGGGACCCTTCTCCATGTCCCGAAGGCTCATAGTTCAGGGCTACTTCTGGCCCACGATGGCTAGAGATTGTGCTGATCTAGCCCGAAGGTGCACCGCTTGCCAGCACTTTCAGAAGGCCCCCGGCAGACCAGCGGTCAACTATGCTCCCATCAGTACCGCTATCCCCTTCTCCAGATGGGGTATTGATTTAGTGGGCCCTCTACCGAGGGGTACCTCCAACAACCGATATATCATTGTGGCCATTGACTACTTCACCAAGTGGGTAGAGGCCGAACCCCTCGCCAGCATCACGGAGGCCCGGTGCCGTCACTTCGTCCTCAAGAACATTCTCACAAGGTTTGGCGTCCCCCAACAAATCATCTCCGACAACGGGACCCAGTTCGAGGCAGCCCCCTTCTGTGCCCTCCTTGAAGCTTGGGGCATCAAGCACACATTCTCTTCCGTTGCCTACCCTCAGGGCAACGGACAAGTAGAAAATGCCAACCGCACCCTCCTCGAAGGGTTGAAGAAGAAGCTGGAAGCCGAAGGGGGAGGCTGGGTAGAAGAGCTCCACAACATCTTATGGGCCTACCGCACCACCCCTCGGCGCGCGACAGGCGAAACACCCTTCTCCCTATGCTATGGCTTCGAGGCTAAGGCTCCAACAGAAGTGACTCTTCCCACCCGAAGGGTTGAACAATATGAGCCCGAGGCAAACGACGCCAACATGGCCCTCGACCTTCACCTCATCTCAGAGCGCCGAGAGCAAGCCTTTCTCAAGGCCGAAAACTATAGGAGACAAGTCAAAGGATACATCGACGCCAAGGTCCGCTCCCGGGAATTCCAGGTGGGAGACTACGTCCTCCGACGAAGGGAGGCCAGTCTACCCACCGAAGGAGGGAAGATGGCGCCCAAGTTTGAGGGCCCCTACATCATCTCGGCCATCATCCAACCGGGGACATACAAATTAAAACGTCCTAATGGGACAGAGATTCCTAGACATTGGAATGTGCACCACCTAGTCAAGTTTTACCAATGAGCGGCCAAGCCCTCATCCTCAACAAGTGTAAATATCAATGGCCCAAGGCCCCATCTGTTCTTGAAGAATAATCACCTACAAGCCTTCATCACCTACATATTACACAAGTGGCCCAAGGCCCCCTTCTCCCATACAATTTAGGTACCAAGTACCAAGTGTATGGGTCACCCCCATCACTCTTTGAAAACACCAAGTGTTTTCTCACTAAGCCGTACCCCACGAGGACGCAACCATGCATACATTATGCATACTTTTACATACTCTCCTAAAAAAAAAAAAAAAAAAAAAAAAAAAAAAAAAAAAAAAAATAACCGGGGGGTGCAACACCCCTCGGCTCCGGCTGGTACCAAGTGCCCCCGGCTATTTGTGTTTCTACACACAAATAAAACCCTTCCCAGGAACGCTTTCCGCGCCATCCCCCAAGGGGAGGCAGGCAACGGACCATGTCCCGGGCCCAGGATTCGACTTCCACAAACGAAACGCTCCCCGCGCTATCCCCCAAGGGGAAGCAGGCAACAGACCATGTCTCGGGCTGAGGGGACGACTTTCAAAACCGAGGCGCTTTCCGTGCTATCTCCCAAGGGGAAGCAGGCAACAGACGATGTCTCGGGCCGAGGAAACGACCCTCAAACCCTTCGGGATATCGGAAGGTCATTCCCGAAGGGGGAGCCAACGGTTTGTTCCGTTGCCTCCCATATAGGCCAAGCCTTTCCTAGGAACCAAGTTGCTAGATGCCTCTCCTACACCATCTAAAAAAAAAAAAAAAAAAAAAAAAGATGTGTAGGGGGGAAGGAACTCCCCGGATAATATTCTCCCCGGAGGCTCAACACTTCGGATATACATTGCCGAAGGCTGCTACAAATGAACAAGAGAATCTCTCAACATCGAATCATCTGGCTACATAGCCGAAAGCTTCACTACATGAAGCCTTGGAGTACAAGAGTTCCACCGGAGGCCTAAGAAGAACAAAGCTTCATCTAGATCAGAACTCGGTTGAATCAAAGTCGACTATGCGACACGCCGAAGGCTACACAAAGCTCTGAGGCAAGCTAAATCTATTATCTACACGAACCAGAGAATTCGTACCGAAGGCAGAATGTCACCGGTCTCGTACCCATCGGCAAACATATGCACCGGGGGCTCAGGCAGTTCCCACACTCGAAGGATTCGTTACAACACCAGTTGAAAGTTGGTGAGAAAATGACTAAGTCCACAAATGTGGACCCTTCGGTAGGGCTATTCTTCACCTACAGACTCATGGCCGACGGCCCCCGGCCGAGAGTCACGCTACTATAATGAGGGCCTGCAATGCAACTAGTTTTTACTTAGAATATTTTCTAAGTCCACAATGATGAGCCCCGGCGAATCTACAGTGCAGCCGAAGGCTGTGGCCAGGTTCTACTTAGAAAATATTCTAAGTCCACAAAGTTTTGCCCTCTGCCAAACATACGGAAGGAAACAAAAGCATACATTCATACACGGAGGCAGCAAATTGAAACACAAGCGCAAAAAGGACGAAAGGCATTCATTCATAAGGAAAAGGAACGAAGGCAGACAAAACATGGAGGCACATTCCGATATATAAGAAGCCCGGAGGCATATTGCATTCATTAAAAAAAAAACAGTGTTAACAAAGGATGTTTGTTTACAAATAAGGCCGAGGCCGAGGCCTACAACTATTACATCAAAATATGGCAAGTAAAATCTCAAGCCTGGCCCCCCCCGGTGACGTCATCCTTCAGTTTCGAGGCTGCATCATCCTCAGCTTCTTCCTCATCATCCGAGGCCAGCTTGTCCATCTCTGAGTCCTCGAGCAAAGGCCTCTCCTCGCCTTCGGGCATGGGGGTTTGGAGGTCAGGAAGCAGAGGGGGAAGACCAAACGGGGCCGGGTCGAACTCTTTCGGGTCCACCCCATGGTGCCGGGCCAACTTGCGATAAATCAGGGCTTGAGTGAAGTACTGTCCGCCTTCGAAGAAACTTTTGCCTTTCAGCGCCAACCACATGGCCCCGGACCCCTTCACCCAGCCATCGGCAGAAGCCTCCACCACTGAGGCCACCCACTGCTTCTGCTCTTCGGCCTTCCAGCCGTCGGCAATAAAAGCCGCCACCGCCTCCTCCCTGGCCTTAGAGATAGCTTCCGCTTTAGCCTCCTCAGCCTTCTCGGCGGCTATCCTAGCGGACTCAGCAGCGGCCCTCTCGGCTTCAGCTTTCCCCTCGGCCCGGGCTTCCTCCTTGGCTGCCTCCAGTTTCTTCTCCGCCTGCCGGAGGGCCTCCTCCAAATTCGCCAGCTGCCGAATGGCCTCAGTATTGTTGGCCACCAGCTTCCTCGTCACCTCGGCGGATTTAGCCCTCTCAAGGCGATGCTGCTCCGCCCTACGAACCAGTTCCCCGAAGGCCAGGCTCGCCTGCAAACATATAAAGAGGCACTCAATATCAGATTGTTCAAAGGAAAGAAAACAAAAGAGGGATTAAGGGCGCAAAAAATCTAAACACTTACGGTGGCCGAAGCTTGGAGAGCCTTGAGTTCGAGGGCTTCATCCCCAAACCGGTTGAGGGTGGACCGATCTACCGAGGGAGTGGCACCCTTCAAGAACTCCCTCGGGTCGAGGGTGCCATGCATGATGGCTGTTCCCTTTTTGATTGGGAAGTGTACAGTCTCAAGGGGCCAGGCCCCCTCGACAAGATCCTCCAGGGGAGCAGAGGCTGACGGTTGGCCGGCGGGGGGATCGTCAATGATCACCAGGGGGGTATCCTTTGGCTCAGCGTCCCCCTTCGATTTCTTCCTTTCCGGAGGCTTGACGCCCTTCCCGGCGTTTTTTCCGCTTGAGCTCCCCCTCCTTGGAGCCTCCGGCATCAGTACCGGCACCAGCGATTGCAGTCCCCTTCGGGGGGCCTTGGCCCTCAGGGGCCTCCTGCTTCTTAAAAAGGGCGTCCACCTGCGGTTGCGTCGGAGGCCTCTCCTCCTTCTTCTTCTTATCCTTGGCCAGTTGCCGGGACAGCTTAGAGAAAGCTTTCGGATCCATGAAATCGCCTGCAAAAGAACAAGAAGGAGTTAGAATCAAAAGCAAATCAAAGACTTACGTCTCTAAGCACTAAACAACAAGGGCCCTCGGCAACCACCTCTGATACCCGGAGAGCCCCGGTCAAGGAGAGGATATCTCTCATCCTTCTCCCCCGGCAAGCGATACCGCTGAAATTCTAATTTGAGCAGCTCATCCGGAAGCGTGGCGGCCTTGATAGTCGTCAGCTTTTCTGAACCAGGCGGCTTCGCCTTCAGCTTTCTCCCATTGGCCTCAAGGGCAGCGTTGCCCACCTTAGGGTGTCTCTGAAAATGGTTGCGAAGAGGCCTCGGGAAGGTCACTCCCGGCATCCTGAGGTAACAGAAACGGTCCCTCCATCCCTTGTGAGACGAAGGCACCTCCGAGAAAAGCCTCCACGCCGGCACTTGTTGGAGGTTGGCGAAGCCCTCGCTATTGGCAGCACCCCCTCGACACAGGTTGAAGGATAGAAAAAATTGATCCAATGTGGGGACAACCCCTCGGCTTCGACATTGCGAGAGAAACCCTGTGATGTACGAATGACTATTCGGGGTCAGTTGGCAAGGAGCGAGACCCACGAACCGAAGGTATTCCACCAGAAAAGGGTGGAGCGGGAATCGGAGACCCAACTCCACCGAAAGGATGTGCACCGCGTAACAGCCCTCTGGAGGATGCAATAACACATCGTCAGGCCCCGGAACCACCACCTGTGCCGACGGACCGACCAACAGTTGAATTTTGAGATACTCCGCCTCCCCGGCCTTCGTTTTCAATTCGAGGGCGGCGGTGTTGAGATACGAGTGGCCCTCGGGTATTCCCACCGGCTGACCTGCGTCGATAGCAGCCTGCTTCTTCTTCGTGGCCGCCTGGGTCTTCTTCTTCTTTTTCCCGGGAGCGACGCTTATCGGTTCCGGATCTAGGGGCCGGGAGCTACTGGCTTCGCCGGCGCCACGAAGGGGGGAGTGCGGCGACGGTCACCCTCTGCCGCTCTTTCTCCTCCTCTTCCTCGGCGACTTGGAGCGCGAGGGCAAGCTCTTCGTCTTCCGCCACCTGCTCGAAGTCCTCCGCCTCCAGCTCAGTCCGAAGGGTGTCTTGGACTTCCTCGGCGATGGCAGCGTCATTGTTGACCGACGAGTGGTCACTTGAGGACTCAACCTCGGAATAGCTCTCCGATTGAACCGGGGCCTCCACGGAAATATCTTGGGAGTCGCTGGCCGAAGACATCTTCTCGAGAACAGGGAAAAGGGGGAATATAAGAGAACTAACTGGAGGCTCCTAAGTATTCCCTAACACTAGATTTAAGGCCAGTGAAGCGAAATACGCTAAGTGTGTGGGAAAGGAGGAAGAACTGACCTCAAAGATTGCGTTTGATCGAAGGCTGAAGTTTCTCTCTCTAGAAAAAATGACAGAGCTCCGCTATCTCTCTAAGTTCGCACAAGAACAAATGAGCTCAGGCTCAGGGTATTTATAGGCAGTGGGCCTCGAGAACTGGGCCTCGATTCGAAAAGCCCATCATTACGGGCCGCCGCCTCAGCCAATGAATGACAGCCGCCCACCCCCAACCAACAAGGGCACGCCACGTCAACCCCTCCTCCAACGGCTATATTACAACGACTATATTCCGGCACCACTGAAGTGCCTTCGAATGATAGCCTCCGGCTATCACCCGCCACACCCTACGGACAAATAATTCCACCAAACGCCTTCGAGCCCGTAGCAGTATAAGCCTTCGGCTTGTCAATGTTATCACCCCTCGGGGGATCATCAACTCATCATAACTCCTTCAGCCCGAACTTGCCTTCGGCCTAAAGGAGTGGGGGACTAGGATACACCCCTCGGGGATCACACACAACAAAAAATTCTTCATGCAACAATTGACGCATACGGCCTCCGGGCAAACATCACAATACATGCAGACAAGACATCTATGCTTTCCTCAGAAAACCCTCGACGTGTGAGGGACTGAGGGGGAGCCCCCGGCGAACATACGAAGGTTACGAGTACCTTCCCTCAGAAAACCCTCGACATGTGAGGGACTGAGGGAAGCCTTCGGCAATCAACAGAAGACAAGTTCTCAAACAAGGGCACCCAGACAGGCGATGAAGCCCCCGAAAGAATCATCACATCTACTCCTTTTCCCTCAAGTACCTTTCGGCAAAAGGAGTGAGGGACTCCTGATGGAGTATATGGCCCAGGAACCCCCGGCCCAAAGACTCCCACTAATCTATCACAAGCCCAACAAGCTCAAGGAGCTCGGGAGGCCCAAGATTCGGCGGCCCAAGCGTCAAGAAAGCCACGGTACACACAGGGATGCCTTCGGCCACCTTGGCCGAAGGCTCCAGAACTCACGGAACCGCCATATTCGACCGTGCGAAGCTACTGGGAGAAATTGACAGAAAATAGGAGCCCTCGGCACTATGGAGCCCTCGGCACTATGAATCCCTCGGCTCAACCAAGCCTTCGGCTGCACAAGGAGCCCTCGGCTACGCAAGGAGCCTACGGCTGAACTAGCTCAATCATCGAAGATTCCTTTTAGAGACAGCCAACCACCGCATTTAATGCCACGTCGCATCCGCCAACCGCATTCAATGCGGTTGACGTACCACTGCCGGTGCCACTAGGCTGATGTGACCCTTCGGCCGTTGGATTACTGACACGTGTCCTCTCATCGCATTTATTGCTGCTATAAATAGCAGCCCATTTCTCCTTGTAATAGACACAATCTACATCTCAACGCCACACGCTGAGTTCATTTAATAAAATCGACTCTCTCTCCTCCTATTTGCTCTGACTTCTCTCTAGTTATTCCTGCAATAACCCCTCGGATAAGATACCCCCCGGGTAGACAATCCATCAGATACATCATTTTTTCGTTGTTCCTTTTACTCTTTTAGTTCTTTTTTAATGAGTATTCCATTGATTTGAGTATAACTATTTGGATTGAGATTTTTTTAAATTCTTTTATATTAATATGGGGCCCCGATTTTAGATTTTGAACCACGACCTCCAAATTCATTAGACGGCCCTGGTAGAAATAATACTGCTGTGTTTTGGGCGTTATCAATTTTTAAATTTTTTAAAATTTGACTATAATTTCTCATATTTGTAAAGAAAAAACACACTACCTGTAATATGGAATTTGATTAGACAATGACAGGAGGATGAAATTTAGGGGACAATGACCGAAATTTCATCAAGTTTTTTGAAACTTGGGGTACCAACGGGCAACGTAATTTGTTTATTCCCGGGATTTCGTTCAATTTTTGAAAGAATCGGTGTACTATCATTTCGTTCAATTTTTCAAAGTCAAAACAATTAATTGTTGTCTACATGAAACAATAGTGACAGGTAGGGGTGGGCATGGGTCGGGACGGTTCGGGATTAGGGTTATCCCGGTCCCGTCCCAATTAATAATAACGGAACGAGACGGTACGAGACAAGTCTTTGTCTTAGTATTGTCCCATTTAAATCAGGACGGGGATGATTCGGAATGGTTCGGGACGGTTGGAGACGTCTCAAACTAACAAAAAATAATCATTTGTAATTAATATATATTTGCATTTCTAAAGTATCATGCACCAAAATATTAACATTTTAAAAATTAATTGATGTTCATCACAAGCTAAAAGCTACTACGTACTCGTATTAGATTTTAGTTAGGTTTAGCAAAATTTGAGATTTAAATTTAAAACAAAGCAAAAATGAATTAGTTAATTCAAAATCAGGTGTTCTAGTTGTGAGATACTCATATGTAGATATATAACTAGTTTCTTACACGCGCGTTGCGCGATAGAGTAAAATGCCCAATGTTATATTTAAATAACATACAATGTGAGCAAACCATTGTATATGAATACGATTTCACACCAATCATATAAGTCTATCTATCTTTATAATATCCCCGATCCTTGATCAGTAAAGATTACTTCCCTAAGAGAATATGCTTCCATCCCCCTATCCTCACACTCATGATACAATATCTAAGACATTTGGTAATTGGTACATAGTATCCGCCATGTTCAAATATAAAAGACAGTTAGTTTATCAAAATCATTATAGTAATATCTCTAGGCAGTTATTTACATTTACCAAAATAAAGCTTCTATAATTATAATACTTCCTTCGTCCCAATTTGATGATCTCGTATTTCCTTTCTGGGCCGTCCCAAATTGATAGTCTCATTTCCCTTTTTGGAAAGAAATATGTGGTCCACATCATTTCACCTTTTTATACTCAAATCTCAATCACAACTTTTACCTTTTCAACCACTTTCTTAATATTTGAGCCCAAAAGAAATGGGATCATCAAATTGGGACGGAGGGAGTAAACCCTATCACATTTATTTTCTAAACTTTCCGAATGCCATA